AGGCAGGCGCTGGGCCACTGAGCTAAATCCTCAGCCCCTATGCATTTTTGTGTATCTATTTTTGTTACACAAAACAGCTTGTTACAGTCAGACAGAAATTTTAGGTACTGACATCTGCTTCCAGCTCTCTCACCTTTACTTTCACTGCAGTATGGTGAAATAGCTATTTTATATATTTTGCATAATTGTCAAAGTATCTGTACTGGTTATCTTTAAATGCTGCCAATACTGACAGTGCAGCAATAGCATTATATCATAAATGCATTCTCATCTTCTTTCCTCTGTAACTGGTCATGATCATTTTCAGTAATAGCATTTGCTGGTATTTGCTTCCTGAATTCTAAAGTTATCTTAAAATACTAAAATGATACTAGGACTTACAATTTATAGTTAAAACAGTGAAAATATCCACTTTAAATAAGACTTTTAAAATGTCTATTACTAACTTTCTGGTTATACTTGTGAAATATATTTAGATGTATGAGTAGCATTATAGTCCTTGTATGAAGAAATATTTTCTTGCAAAAGAGAGAAGATATAGGTAAATAAACATAAAATTTATAGCATTTAATTGAAATTCAGTAATCCTTATGGCTTTTGGTTTTCTTTCATGTGAGTAATAAAGTTTTTGGCTTAGTAACAATGTATTTATCTTTCTTTAATTCCCCTATCTTCCTCTCTGCTATTTTGGCAGGGCAGCCTTTTGCAAATAAATGAGGACAATGCTACACTACATTATAAGTATATCGGCCTGATTTCCATCAGCCATAATTACCTGCAGTTCATGAATGTTCTTTATGGAATGTTTGATGACTGTAGAAGACACAGGCTCAAAAGGAGACGACAGGGTTCCTGCCTTCAAACAACAGATACAGGGAGGTGGGCATACAAACAAGCACTTGTGTGCTATGTAGTGATTTGTTTTAGATCTGCATAAAGTAAGTGAAACCTAGGAAGTCTGTTTAGATTGGCATCAGATATCAAAGTATTATAGAGGCTGAAGTATCTTTTCTCCCACTCCTTGGACAGGTCCCACTAAGCCTAACACTATTATTATCTACTATGTCAAAAGTAGTCAGTTTGCTCTAGAGAAACAGAGTCAATGGAGTGTGTGTGTGTAATCTAGGTTTTTAAGGAAGTAGTTTTAGAGTTGAATTGACAGAAACTGGTCAGTTTCAGGGAGGGAGATATGGGAACACTGGAGAGGGAAGAAAACATGGATATGCAGAGAGTATGAGGGAGAGGAGAAATCATTGTGACTGAACTTTCTAGGTTGAAAGAGGGAGCAAATGGATTGGAAACTTCAGGAGAGCCATAGAAATTGAGCTTTTTTTATTTGTTTGGTTTTGTTTTTTTTTTTCGGTACCGGGAATCAAACTCACGACCTTGTGCTTGGCAGGCAGGCTCTGTGCCGCTGAGCTAAATCCCCAGCCCTGAAGTTGAGTTTTTTATGTGGTGCATTTGGGATGCTCGAGTTGCAGTTGGGAACATAGATATACGAACAGAAAAGGTATCTCCAGGGATAGGAGACATGTGGTCCTGCCTTCGGCGCACCAGTGAAGCCGGGGGAAGAGGTGGGACCATCTCAGGAGAATATGGAAAGTTACGAGGAGCTCTAAGTTGTATCAACATTACTTGCTCTGTAAATATTTGATTGTCTGATTATTTTTTTATAAGAATGGGGTCCTCTGTGAAACAAAAGAGGTGGCAACATTTACCTGAGAAATCTGTAAGATTCCATCCATGTTTTCAAGAGTAAGTTGACATTTACTAAGACAACAGAACGTGTGAGGAATAGTTACCTCCTTGGCAAGTGAACGCAAACCTGTTCGTTCTCGAGTTTTCATCGCAGACAACACAGTTCCATAACTGGCCTTGTTATGTCCACTTCTGCCTCACTGCAAAAAATTCTTGCCATAGTAATTACACAGATATTTTGACACTAAATATGTTGCCAATCCTTATATAAAGTCTCACTTCTTTCCTTCGCCCTTAGCAACGTCTCCTTATGTCCCACACCCCAGGATCCTTGTTTTTGTTCCCGCCTTAGGGCTTGCCTGTGTGGTAGCTCCTTTGTAAATATTTACAGAATGAGTGCATGTCCCTATCTCCAGACATTGTGTGAAGCAAATGTGAGAAAGCATGGGGTGAGCCTAGCAGCGTGCCTGGTGCATTGGAGGGTGCAACAAATACCCCTGTTGGTCGTTCTCACCCTAGTGTTTCCCCAGCATATATTTCTCGATCATCCTCTCTTCTTTTCTGGTCAATCTGCCTTGCTAGTTCTTCCCATCAGCCAATTCACTGCCTTTGGCCTCCGCATCCTCACAGGCTACCTGTGAGTCGATAGTTCTTTTCCCTTCATTTAGCATTGAAGGAAATGTATTTATTTTCTAGGGATTTCCCATACGCATTCTTTCCTGAGCAACTCCATTTCCTGTTATACATAAATAAGTATACGTGGATTCCAGGTCCCAGGGATACTGGATGTATAACAGTCTTCCTGCTGGAAATTGCCAGGAAATGGAAATCCTCTGGAGATTTGGTTGCACCCAACCTAGGGACTATACCACTCATAAAGTATTATGCCAGTTATGCCAGTGTCCTGTGGATTTGGCGTCAGCATTTCATAAATGATGCCAACACCCCTTGAACACCGGCTGTGGGTCAAGCAGTATTCTAAGTACCTTACATACATTACCTCACTTTTTGAGTGTGGTCTTATTAGCATTTCTGTTTTATACTTACCAACTTGCCTCAGGTCATCTGCTACTGATTTGCAAGTTAGGATTTAAGCCCAGGTGGTCTAATTTCAAATTCCTGCCCTCCATTTTGCTTTTATATTCAGTAGTGCCTCAGTAGCAGTTTCAGGGGTCATAAAGTTAGCTTTTATTCTTTAACATTTGATTCAAGGGTTTTTAAATAATATGCAGTTACAGTTTTAAAAAATTTATAATAGTACTTCCCTGCCATTTCAAGGCTCATTTCCCTTAAGGCAACTACTGTTAACGATATTTTCAGAGTTTTTTTTATCATATGGTTTTTTAAGCTTCACAGTGTGTTTGTGATTGCCCTTTCAGTTTTTGTCTTCAGAGAAGTCAGCTTGATTAATTGGCACAAATTTTAAATACAAATGGTTCAAACAGAACTCTGATGGATACACTTACATGGGTATCTACAGGTATACATTTGTACGCATGTATGCACAAATAACTTGCCTCCAAAGAAAGGTGTCTCACCTATGTCCAAAGCAGACTGATGAAATTAACTAAATTCTTACCTGTTTGGGACCTACTTACACAAGTCTCTGTCTGGAGACTTATTTTTATTTGAAAACTCCCATCTAATAAATTGGTCAAGTTTCTAGGACTAAAACTGTTACTTGACAATTCATCTCTGACTCTATCACCTTGATACTCTGAGGAAAATGAACAACAGCCCCTCCCGGGTAAGGAGATGGGTCCTGATGCTCTTTTGAATGCATGGCTTTATAGATTCAGGAATCAGATATTTTCTGAACAATGTGATGGATGTTTTGCTTCTAGATTCATATATTTTTTTGTTCTCCTCTCTTCCTTAAGAACTCTGTAATTTTTAATCAGCGACGCAAAAATGCACCTATGTAAATGGCCATACTTTTCAGCATGCAGAACATTTTCCTAAAAAGGGAGGTCACCAGGAGCGCAGAGCAGCGAAATCCCAGATGGCACTAATATTTGATTTCATTTTTAGCACGCTCATATTCAGCAGATGGATTGGAAGGCTGACCTCTCTGACACTTCTGCATCACTGCCTGCTACTCCAATTGCCTTTGTGAATGTTTTTTCATAAGGCTTCTCCTGGTACCTCAGAGATTGATGCCTGGTTGCCTGCCTGTGCTATGCTTCATTACGCTGAGGCTCAGTGTGCTCAAGAGTCGCTGTATTCTATAAAAGGGGAAATCCTAGCTCCTAAGTATCTCAGACGTTTCCTACAATCTCTCAAATAGCGCGTAACTTCCTGGAGTGTACTGTCTTAGCTTTCTAGGTGTATTTTGATTTGTATCTATCTTTAACTTATTCTAATTTTTCTGTACTATGGTTAAGTTAAAAAGTACAAAAAAAATCTTCTTGAAAAGGCTGAATTTAACTCCTTCCAAAACACCTACCAAATGCAAAGCTTAACTATTTTACTATGAATATTGCCGAGTGGCTAAGAGCACCAGCGTAGGCTAGAGTTCTTTGTTCACTATTTCCTAACTTTAGAGTCAGCCCAGTTTCCTTGTTTGTGAGCTAATGCTCTTACTTGTGCCAGGCTGTTAGGACTAATGTGAAAATTAAAGTAATACACACCAAGTGGTTGTCTCAATAGCCAGCACAGAGAATACGCCTAATAAATGTTAGTCCGGGTATGCATAACAATTGTGGTTGAACGTATGTATAGTATAAATAAACAAAATGTAAAAGATGAAATAATTTTGTTTACTTTTTATTTGGATTGCAAAGAAAGTAAATGGGTAGAGTTTTTACTAATTAATACGCTGTTCGAAAACTTTCTATACAATTAGTTTACTCCTTTTTGTAGATATAACCCACATACCTATTTAGAGATAAACTCTGGAAATGACTACACTCTGCTGGTTCTTCCCAACTTCACCAGGTAGTTTGCACATCAGTAATGCAGCTAAAGAGTGGGAACTACCACAGAGTGTGATTATCTAGCACTTTCTGTGTGTTTCCCCGCAGGCGATCTGGCTGACCATGCGGCAGAGTTCCCTGGTATTGCTCAGTTCTCAGGACTAGGTGGCTTATGTCTTTTCGTAGTGTGGGTTCCCACACAACCAGTGTCATGCATGTCTTCACGGGTGGTGCGCTTTTGCATTGGAAACCACTGCATATTTAAGCCTTTTTTGCTTGAGTCAGGTCTCTCCCCAGTACAGTTTTGATGAGTTTAGCTATTAGATGCAGAGAATGCTGCTCTGTTTTGAACCTGTCTTTAAGGAGTGACTTTCCTCGTTTTTACAGATCGAACATAAGGCCAGACTATGCAGACTCCAATTTCCATGACTTCAAGATGCACACCTTCACTCGGGTGACGTCCTGCAAAGTCTGCCAGATGCTCCTGAGGTGAGCACCTCCAGCCTGTTTTCCAGTGGATGTGAACTGGTGTAACTGCTAAGAGCTACAGACTTTTCTGCCATTCTAGTCAAAATTTTCTCACGTGGGATTTTGCCTTCATGGTTTGAACTCAGCTGATCTTTGCTAGGCTGTGGAGAGGGACAGTTCCTTCATCAGCTCCTGGGAGGACGCCTCCCTCTGCTGAGGGCACTTTAATAGCGTTGTGATACATTTTTCCCCTTGTGAGCTAATGATTTCATATAGGAAGAATTTAGCACCTTTTAATATATCACTCTCTAATTTTACCTTTCAGAGGAACATTTTATCAAGGCTATTTATGTTTTAAGTGTGGAGCAAGAGCGCATAAAGAATGCCTTGGAAGAGTAGACAATTGTGGCAGAATTAATTCGGGGGGTAAGTTATGTTTATTGTTGGGATTCTGTTTTTAATGAGGGCATAAAACTTGCTAAATATAATTAAGGCCTAATTTACTCTTAGCATGTGTTTATTGTAACGTATCTTCTGCAAAACTCTCATTTTTAAGCCCAATTAGAAAATTGCTTAAAAATCATGTGACTTTTCTGCATGATTTTGTTTTGAACTGTTTAAAATCAGTTTGATTTTTGTATTCACCTTCGAGATGGAGAGAGTGGGATGGTTCCATGTCATCCGTTTCTTTAACCCTAACCCTAAACACTACTGTAACTGTACAGACATCGCTAATGCAAATAAAGAGCAACAAAAACAAAACAGGAAGATTTTCTTCTACCTTTAATTCTTAGTTTGCGTGTTTGCTTTCTTACATATTTAGCTCAGAATCGCTAATGACGTCCCAAGTAAACATCACACAGACTCACTTATGAATTGATGAATACATTGTCATTTTCTAGCATTCAACAAAGAACATATATTCTTTGGATTTTATGTCAATATTTTCCCCATAGTTTTTAAAAATAGTGCTCCATGGTTGCTCCGGGAGCTGGCTGGCAATTATGCATTCCGTAGCCTTTTGCCTCTCCGTGCTCCTCTTGGGCTCTTTCCCTTCTCTTTCTTTTCTGGGCTCTTTATTCTTTCTCTTTCTTCTCCTTTCTCTTTGTCCTTTTCCCCTGAGTTTCTCTGTGTTTTATCAATAAGACCTTTCAAAATCAGTAAAACTTTTTGAACACAAGAAAGGATCTTTAACAGCTTGAGTTCCAAAGGTAGCCATGTCAACCTTTGATTTTCCCAAAGGAAAAGGTGGACATTGAATTATTTTGGATAATGTGAGGAAGGGAAACAGAGAGTAGTTCGGTTCAGAGCTGAGTTCAGAAAATGGGCGGTTGTAGAAAAAGTGAATCGTGTAGAGGAATGAGATCACAGCACAGTCCCCTGACGGCGCTCCCTCAGTGGACATCGTAGCGGGCCCCGTGTGCCGTTCTCGGTGCTCGGCCTGGGTAGCTGCAGGAGCTGAAACCCTTGCGTTAGCTGAGCTCCTGCACTGTGCATTCCCTGCCTGGCTGCTGTGGCATCTTCCCATGTAAGTTCCTTCCAGCTTCAGAGCAGTCCTTCCCACTGCCGCTGGGGCCGGAGCACTCCTGCGCCTTCCTCAAGGTTGTGAAGTGAAAGAGCTGGGATTGTCTCTTACATCTGTCTAAAGGTCAGAAATGGCTTACAAGGCTGTAAACTAGAAAATTGCACATTATTACTGTTATCCTTTGTCTACTTGGTACAACTTATCACTTACCCTTCTGTGGCTCCATTTTTATGTGTCCCGTCTTATTGTCTCTTTGAGGATTAGCAGAGCCATGTTTTTGTCTGAGTACCACAGCCCTGCCTCGAAGAGTTGGAATCTGTCAAGGGCATAAAGAAATCCCGTTGTTAGCTTGGGCTCTGTGTCTTGCAGAGTGGAATATGGGAGAGTAGTGAATAGTCAAGCAGAGATGGTTGAAATCCTGGCTCTGCTATTTGCTGGCTACCTGAGCTTGGGGAGAATTGGCATAAACATCATGTGCTTTTGTTTGCTCATCTTCACAATGTACACTGGAGGATTATTGGAAGTTCCAGTGAGATCATAGTGACGCTTGCTGTGGTGCCAGGGGGTAATAAGAACTTGCTTTTCTAATCTAGAATTTTATCATGAGAAGCCAGGTTTTAAAGGATATGGTTGTAGTCTACATTTTTGTAGGTTTTATCGTCTGCAGGTAATGTAGATAGAAAAATTAGTAAGCACCAAACTTTAAAATGTTACACAAGTATGACTTGAAAAGATCTTAACAGTTCTGACTTTCATATTAAAAAAGTCAATAAGAACCAGTTTGCAGTTCCTAGTCTAGCAGGATAGAAGAGTGAAGCATACCCACTGTCTGCTCCTGGTCATTAGTTCAGGGCACTCTGCCTGCGGACGAGTCCTCTTTGGTCAGGTTTGATTCCTGGCTCCTCAGTTTACCTTCTGGGTGGCTTTGGACCCCCATTATTTAAACTTTTTAAGACTCCAGTTATTTAAACTTTATCAAATTTTATAATTTTAACTTCTTCCCTATAAAATAAGGATAATAATAGCACTCAGCTTTTACATTTTTAAGTAAATGCGTCGCGTCCAGTAAACACACTAGCATTATTGACTCATTCGGTGAAGTTGGCTGTGCTGCCATTCCTGTTTCACCGATGAGAGACCCAGGCTCAGATGTCAGCAGAGCCGAGACCCAAACCCAGGGAGCCCAGCTTCTGGTCTGTTCTTACTGCCGGCCCGTGCTCCCCATCGTGGGAATTAGCTGTGAGGATAATGCATCAGACGTCCAGTGCTGTACCTGTCCTCATAAACCATCATGTATTTACTTCTTTCTGTGAAAGAAGTGCTGAGAGGGAACCCGGTGTCCCCGGGGGACCACACCTGCTCACTCCCCACGGGAGCCCTCAGATCTCGAAGTTCTCAGGGCACACACCTTCAGAGAGAGAGGGCCCCTCTTTTAAGATGAGACATTTGGATCATAAAATTTGAAAATGAGGCAACAAAAAATAAGACTCTCACTGATTTGCAGATGAAAGGTGATGTTTGGTTACTCAGATGTCATCCATGAAAAAGTAACCCCAGTCTCTCCGCTCTGTTACATAGTTCATTATAAGGCAGGATAGAGGTTTTTGTGAAACTCTGATTAAATTTACAGTTTGGAATTTTGAACAGATTCCTTTGCACTGTTGATTCTGTCTTCCCTTTGCATCCTCACCTTGACCCCCTTTCCTCTCTGTTTTGCATACCTGTGTCTTTTCTCTGTCTTCTCTTCATGTCCTTTCCTGTTCGAGATTTTTGAAGAGACCAGTGACATTGAATTTTCATAGTCAGTTAATTAGCGGTATGAAATAAGACCTGCCTAGGAGGCTTCTCTTCTTCCCTTCAGATCAGGATTGTCTGAGTAGCCCTTGTAATAAAGGGGCCTTGTCTTCCGGGTGTTAGAGCTGTATCAGCAGTTTTCTCTTCCCCGTTCCCAAGCAGCTGTCCTCTGAAAGGTGGAAGTCATGGCATCCCATCCTCGTAGTCACCTTCCCTGTACTTGAATAAATAGTAACTGTGGGGAGTTTGAGGCTGATGGGTCTGATGTGAGTGTAATAGAATAGGTGCTATTTGTTGCTGTTGTTGTTGTTTTTTCCAGTACCGGGAATCGAACTCACGACCTTGCTCTTGCCAGGCAGGCTCTGTGCTGCTGAGCTAAATCCCCAGCCCCAGTAGGTGCTATTTTTGAGGCCACGGACAAGCCAGATTTTATGGACTCTTTAGTAGTCTGCCAGGAATCCTTGCATTGCTTAAGATTTCTGTAGATCTTTATTCCGGCACCCAGGAATCACTGCTTGCAGCAGTTCAGCAAGTAGTTTTCCGTGACTGTCACAGTATCTGGGGAGTGTGGGTGTGAGGAGGGCAGGAGGTAGGGAAGATACACTAGGAGCTGGAGACGTGGTCTGCTTGAACTGGGCTTTTGTATGGAGGCAGGTGTAGCATCTTTTCAGGAGAACTGAACTTTGAGAAATTCATTCCAGCAGGAAAATTTAAAGCACGTGGATGGTACTGATTCAAAGCAAACTCAAGTGTTTACATAATCCAAGTTCCCACATAAGTCATAGGTGGTTTGAAATTCACCCCAACTTTATAGCTCCAGTGCTTACCACAGCCAAACTGTGTTCTCAAGAGACAAAAAGATTCTGCCTGGGATAGTGTGAGTCAGGAAGCCACTTATAGGCCACAGAGCTACGCTGAATAGGAGCGATTATGTTGTGATACATACTGGATAGTTGGGGTAGGAAGCAGGCCCCAAAAGGGCAGCATGCCACCCTTACTCAGCAGTAGCTGCAGAAAGGATTGCAAAATGGAGAAGAGTCACTAACTGTACAAGATCATTTAATCCAAGGGTTAAAGGAAGGCAAAAGAACCTTCCATTCTGCCTTCTTCCTCTGGTGATCACACTCCAGGTTAACTTTCTGGATCTTTTTCTCTTATTTCACATCCATCGTATCTCTCTTGCTATCCTTTGGAGCTGTGGTTGCTTTCTCTGGCTTGGGCTTGCCTATATCTCAGGCAGATAAGGCTTCATCTGTACAGGTGACATCTCTGAACTCTGAATCTAGAATTCCTGTCCTCACGCTCCTTCTCTCCTAGGTGTCTTGTGTGACCTCGTACACCACGTATCTACAGCCAAGCCCCACTAGCCCTGTCGCTTTCCTGTTTTTTGTCTGTTAAAATGACTCCGTTCATACACTCACCCGAACCTTCATTTCATACATTAACCCCACATCTACTCCTATGGAGCTGCTATAGGTAGTAAATCTCATTATCTTTTGTTAAGAGCATTTCAAAAGTTTCCTGACTGTCCACTCTTAATCTCACTCCTACATAATTTCAAAAGTGATCTTCAAAAATCTGTTAAAGTCACGTATGGTTATGTCATTCTTTTGTTGACCATGTTGTCTGTTTCTAGCAGAGTATGTCCAAACGTTCCAGTGCGCATGAAGTGTTGCAGGCCATTGTCTCTGCCCTGTTTCTACCACAGCTCCCCCTCCCCAACCCCTAGTACAATTCTGTTTGCTCATAGTTCCTCAGCTTTTCCCATGTGTAAATATCTAAGTGTCTTCCTTTGTCTGTTTGGTAAACTGCTATTCAGTTTTGAATACTCTGTGAAAATGTTGCCCCTCCCTTTGAGAACATTTCCTCACACTGTCAACCTCTGGGCTTCTTCATCTGTCGGTCCTTGTGTGATCCTGGCTTTTTATAATTGCTCTTATCATAGCATCAATCTCATTTATTACAACTATCTCCTTGCTGATCTCTTCAGTTTAGTTCAGCTATAAGAACCACAGATAATTATTGTTTTGACCTCAGGAAAGACATGATGGTGTATTGATAAGCAAGTAGATAGATTTTCACCAAATCCATGCAAAGAAGAATGCGT